TATTCTGCATATTTTTCAGTCATAACATGTATGATGCAGGAAGCAGAATGGACAGGCAGAACATAAATCAAAAGCTGTGTTTGCAAAAAGCCAAGTCATCAAAATGGTGTAAAGATGCTTATATTGTTTATGTCCTAATTTTTTTCTTCTTGGGGGAAACAAAACCCAATCCCTGTAAATTACTCAGCTGGAAGGTTCTGACAATGTATTTTTATGAATATTACAATGGAACTTTGGTATCGTGAATAATATATCATACAAAGAAGTGGATTTTCAAAATTCTCTTTTATTATCTTGAATGACATGATGTCATGTGAACATAAGGGCAAATTAAAGATGGTAATTTGGATGGTGTGGTCAGTGTGTGATGATACTATGAAGTATGATTGGAGGAGACCTTAACATCAGTTATTTCATTGTCCTTAAGACATCTGTATGTACTCTTTTTTTTTTTTTTGGTACAGGGGATTGAACTCGGTTCCTTGCACTTGCAAGGCAGGCCACTGAACCGCTGAGCTAAATCCCTGGCCCTGTATGTACTCTTGCTGATAAAGCTTTGTCTAGAGATCTGAGCTGAGCCAGGAGGAAAATAATACAGAAGAAAAATCTGTTTTAAACTATGTAGAAAGTCTCAAGTCAGAGAACTTCCTTGACTATTTTTGGCCTTAGGGTAGATAATCCTAATATAGAATAAATGATTCTGCAAAAATCTTCTTTCAACATCAAGTCTTCAATACAAGAATCTTACTGGATGTTGCTCCTGATTGTCTCCTTCTCCTTCTCCTTCTCCTTGTCCCTCTCTCTCTCTCCCTCTCCCTCTCCCTGTTCTTCTTCTTTTTTAAATCCTGACATAATAATGCAAAATTCCATGTGCTACTCATGTGCAATTTTACTACAAAAATATTATGGGGTGACGATGAAATTTTGTGAATTTATCCCCGTTGTCTGAGGAAGGGGAGTGGTAGGTGATTGTAAATTAACTGAAGGGGATTTGTATTTACTTGGTTGTCCCCAGTGTTTTACAAATAATACAAAGTATACTCACAAGCAAATTATATGCCCAATGTACATATGATGACCTGCCATTTTATTAGCAGGAGATACCTTATAAACGTAGTCCACTTCACCTGAGCTGCACATATTTTTGACATAAATGATTGGGCTGAAGCTTTCAGGAATGCTTGTGCAGTTTACATCTTTCAGCAACACTAAGTGTTGTTCAGGGTAAAAATATCCTCTTCTTGATTTGGCCTAGGTAGAATGAAGTACATATCTGAAACCAGGTATAGGAACTATTACCCTGTGTACCCAGTGGATATTAATTGTGGGAGAGGGATGATTTGTTGAGCCTTGCACATTGATACATTTCTGAAACATGATGACATGATGATTATTTAAGTGAATTGATCAGCATTGCTTTGATGACATAGCTTATTAATTGACGCAATCTTTTGTTTTTGTTTTTGTTTTTTGGTACTGGGAATGGAACTCAGGACCTTGAGCTTGCAGGGCAGGCAGCAGAACCACTGAGCTAATCCCAGGCGCAATCTGTTCTTTTTTAGTGTCATTTTGAAATATACGTTCAAATTACTAAAATATTGTTTCAGAGTGAGTCTATTCCCTAAAGTGCATTAAAGGATTCCTCCCCATTGACTCTTTTGACCAAAGGGTGAGTACACGTGGCAGTGTGAATACAACATGTGACCAGGCCTCAGGAGAGAATGAAGACCCGTGGAGAATGAAGCTGGAGTCACACTGGACATTCTCTGTTACTTCTGACTGTATATACATCATTTAAGATAGGTGGACTATAAACCATAAATGTGTTGGTTGGATGCCACTCACTAGCTGTTGTTTTTCTATTTTGTACGTGTGGGGCTTTAGCAGCAGAGTAGAAACTGTTAGCCTGGAGCCTAAAGCCGTTCTATCAGTGTAAATGTGGCACCTGGGCCACTCTTCCCTTCTCTACCATCCAGCCACCACCCCCTTTGGGGCTCTCAGCATGCACAGGAAAAGCAGCCAGTGGCACAGATATTCAGATCCTGCCTCCCATGCTCCATGGCTTTGTGCAACCATGTGGCCACAGGCAGCTACCTAATTACTTGGTTTCTTCCATCTGTGTAGTGCTTTTCCAGTTTGTATTTCTCTCTCTGACACCATAAGCACCTGGAGGGCAGGGAGTGTGTCTTTGAACTCTTATTTCTGCAGAGACTCCTGTAGCTTCTGGCCTGTAACAGGGTGGAACAAAAAGCAGCCTAAATGGTAGAGTTTTATTTGATGCCTACCACATGCCTGTGAGGTGTGAGGAGGATTAGAGTAAGCTTGTGAAGCACCAAACACAGCTCAATGAATATAGGCTCTTATTATTGGGGAGCAGGTATTATATTCACTTGGAGAGATCAAGATAAAACCAAAAAGCAAAAACTAATACCAATAAAAACACCAAATAATGGATCTGAGCTCTCAGCCTAGCTTTTCAGTTGCCACTCGAGGTGAAGTGCTGGTCTGTCCAAGTGGGCAGGTGTTGGCTGTGTAATAATCCACATTAAAGAGCACTAGAATACAGAGCATTAGAATTGCAGACTCTTCCCACTTCACACTACTGATTTTTCTTCCTTTTCTTTCTTCCTTTCTTTCTCTTTCTTCTCCCTTCCCCAGACATTTGTTGAGGATCCATTTTATACCAGAATTTTATTAAATGCTGGGATTAAAAATAGGCTGAAAAGATCTATAATCTCAAGGGGAAAAGAGCACTTAACTATAAAGTAACTGGAATCTGGCATAAGAGAGAAAGGCATAAACTGTTATGCAGAAACAGATTTGGATTAGTTGGTTAATTATTGTTGTCGGCTGTAATAAACAACCTGCAAACCCTGGCCAACAAACATGATATACATTACTTTCTTCCTCATGCTGTGGCTATGCTGGTGGCATGCCATCCTGGATGACACCCTCCACGTGGGGATTTAGGCACTGGGATTCTCTATTTCAAGATTTACAGTGGAGTCCTGGCTTCCATTCAGATGCACGAGAGAGAGAGAGAGAGAGAGAGAGAGAGAGAGGGAGGGAGAGAGGGAGGGAGGGAATCTTGTATAGTTTGGGGTGCAGTCTGGAAGCAGTGCTTTAAACTACCACAGGGCCTCACCTAGATGCAAGGTGGCTGGTAAAGACATACTTACTGTGGGTCTAGGAGGAAGGCAACAAGGGTTTGATGGACATTTAGCATTGTCTTCACACAGTTGTCCTCCTGTCTCTCAACTTTTGTAGAAGGCATAGGATAAGAATAGGTAGCCATGTGAAGACACTGCAGGGGTCTCAGCAGAGTCTGAAAACAACTAGACATGCAACTTTATATCTTTGTAACAGTCTGGGGAATGGTGTTACTAGGTGGAAGAGGCATCTCCAACAGCAATCCCCTGTCCTCTTCTCATCTTCTCCCTACCATGCTACCTACTGGTGGTTTCTTACCAGCTGTTTTGTTTATCATAAAGCCTACTTTCCTATCCAGGGTCCCTTCTCCACTGTGGAAACCTTTTTCCTATTCTCCTTGCACATTCCTTGGCAGCCTGTGTGTGGACAGGTGATGGCGGCTCAGCCAAACCCAAGCCACACTGAAGACATCAGCTCTGGGATGGTGACACACTGCACAAGTGATGGTAGAGTTTAGGCCTAGAGCCAGCTCTGATGGCCAGCAGATCTTGGAGGGGAAGGGTAGGGATGCAAGTTGTGCTTTAACAAATCCATCAGTTGATTCTCTACCTTTCAGAATCACTGCTTGGATGTGTCTATTCTTGTTGAGTCTGCTCTTAAAGATTCTGATTCAGTAGGATTGAGTGGGGCCTGAAAATTTGTGTTTCTGACATGTTCGGGTAGGACAGGTTGAGTATCCTTTGTCAGAAATGCTTGGGACCTTTAGTGTTTCAGATTATTCAGATCTGGGATTACTTGCAAATGCATCATATGATATCTTAGGGAGGAGACACACATCTAAACAGAATTATTTTATGTTTCATATTCACCTTATCCTCATATTCTGGAGGTAGTTTCGTGCAATATTTTTTTTCTCACAGAATATTTTTGATGTGTCTGTATTTTGACTTTGGTCCATCAGATGAGGCCAAGCGTGGAATTTTCCATTTGTGGCACTGTGTTGTGCTCAGAGATGTTCAGTTTCATTTTGGAGTTTGGATTTTTGGATTGGGGATGCTCCACCTGTCCTGATTTGGGACTGTACTTGGAGAACCACTATTGTATTATCTTAGAATATAGAGTAGGAAAGAGTGGGATGGACACTAAATGTACGGATCTTCACCGTTAGAATGAGAGAGTTAATTGAAGGAGGTTTGCCAGTGGTAGCTGTTGTGCTCCCTTCGCCCTTGTCCCTGGGCACCTCCTTTTATTTGCATGCATCATTTCCCAGCAAGTTGGCCACTTCCCAACCTTAGAGTTACAGTTTTGGTGTTTTCTCTGTGTGTCCCACTTCTGGCATTAGAACTGTCTTACACAAATAAGCGAAGAATATCCTTCAACATGCAAATCAAAAACACCAGGATCTGATCATTCCCCTGTACCTCCGTGGTGAAAGATAGAGCTGCTCTCTCTAAACCCTGGAATATATTCTAATTCTGACTCACATTTTCCTAAAAGGGGAAAATTACCTGTTAGACTGATATTCCTTAAAGAAGATTCTTTTTCAGAGAAACTTTGTAAAAGCCGTATTTGGGCATTATTTGTATGTGAAAATTGTGCTCTTCCTGCTCATAAACTTTTCTGAAACACTTTTTTTTTCATTTTTGTGAGAGCTTAGAAAAGGGCTGGTAATTTTAAAGCATCTATGTGACACTGATATGCTTTTGGTAGGAGATAAATGCCACAGGCTGGTATGAAGACAATTTGCCTGGAAAAATGTGAAATGCTTTATATCCAGAATTACTAAGCACAGAGTAAAATACCCTCATGGTTAAAAAAAAATCACTAGACACTGATTTGCAGTTGTGGAGTTCTATGCTGTGCTTTATTAATCCTTCAACTCATAGCATGCTAGACGTAGGAGGCCTGGTTTGCTGGGTAGAGGTGAACTCTTAATGAGCTGTGTTTGGGAGCCCAGTGTGTTGCAGGAGGGAGCTCAGTCAGTCCTTAGATCCCTTCACAAGGCAGAGGAAATGAGCAGCAGTTTGGAAGTCCATGCTCTTGTCCCAGGATTGCTTCCAGTGAGGACCAGTGAAATCAGTACGTAATCTCAGCATTTTGCCTTTGAAATAAAATTCCCCCTGCTGTGTTGATATACAGTAGCAAACTCCTTACTAATTCGAAATAGGTCTCAGTGGATTGGCAGCCCCTCCATCTGAATCACAACGTGCACTTCATCTCCTCCTGTTTAAAATGAGGATGAGCATGCTTCGAGTGTTTAAGAGTTGGAAGCTGCTTCAGGGATAGGTATTTGTAGTTTCATGAATTATTTATTTAAGCAAATGTATACAGAGCATTTATGTGCTGGAGTACATGCCTGATCACACTTGAAGGGGTGTTGTGGAAATGTATCATGCCACAACATCACCATTTTGACATGTGTATTGCGGAGAACCAAAACACTGCTCCTGGGATAGAACAGGATTAGTTCAGTTTGGAATCATTTGGCTCTCATGATGCAAGACTAAGTAAATGCATTTTATCATCTTCCCTGTTGTGTAAGGATAAAGCTGAGCCTGAATCTATTTGGGCTTCATGCCTGGAGTTTTGAACTAAGCACAGTCCCACTGGTGTGTAGTCAGATTTCATTGTCTTTGTCTGTGTTGTGCTTTCTTCTTTCTCCAAGTACAAATCCTGGAAAACAGCAGTGTGTACTTTAAAGGTTTACAGCATTTTCCTAATGAGGAGAATCATAAAATAGCATAAATCAAGTCTGATTTTAACTATTTGAATAAAATGGAATCATTATTTTCCTTATTTCCTTAGCATCTCCCATCACACACACACACACACACACACACACACACACACCACATTCACGCATGCACACATGCAACCACAGGTGTGCTGTGATGCTTCACAGTGCATGAGAGTGTTTAATTAGCAGCAGTGCAGTAGTGAGATGCCTGGATTTATCCAGCATTGGTTTTACTTAAAACACCCTTTGCCCCCAGATATGGCTGAAAGAGGTTTCATGACTCCCTGGTGTTATCACCTCCTCCTTTCTGTTCTATTTGAGGTCAAAGATGGAAGGTAGTTAATCTAAATGAGCCCTTTGCCCATTTGGAAGCTAAAAGTGTTAAAAAGTAGACTATCCAGACTAAAAGGTGGACCAGGTGTTCAAATTTTCACCTACATTGTCAGTATTTCCAAAATTGTTTAAGGAAGTAACCTCAGGGGTAGTCATCAGCTAGCCAGTGTTTGTCAAGAAGAAAGAGCAAATTGCATACATTACTTGTTAATTTCCCATGTGGTGTGGTCTCAGAATTGTAGAGTGACCTCTCCCTGACGTCCTGGACCTTTGCTGATAACCTTCCCAAGTCCCTCTTGGAAGAAGAGGTGTAATTGCTCACTAGTCATCTGTTCTGAAATCTCCAGGTGATCTAAGTGTTGAAATGAATAGATGGTGTCTGGCGGCTCTTTTCTGCCAGCGATACACAGTCCTGCCTATTAAGTTTCTCCCGGTGCAGGGGATGCTGCCTTCCATGCACAGTCCCCAGCAGTGTGTGGGCCGACAGAGTAAATATATCTTTACTTTGTATACAGCTAATGAACGGGGCCTCGTTATGTAAGACAAAGACCCGCAAGTTTGAATCCAGATTTAGTGCAGAAGGAGCATAAGAAAGTGATCAGGGAATTGGGGTAACAGGGAGATAAATGAGAGAGATAGGTGTTATTAAAAGGCCCAGGAAGCCAAGGAATGTAGGCAATGTGGGGGCTCACAGGAGGCAGGAGACATGAGGAAACTGGACTACTGATGAATGCTTCAGCGCCTGTCAGCCTTGACTGTTTGGGTTGGGCAGCCATATGTGCTTTTTAAACAAGAATCTTCTTTTGAAATCCTAGAAGCATTCATCTGAGAAAACGTCAGACATCGTATCAGTGCACTTATTTTAGAAAGGAGAGCACACACCTTGGTAAAATAAATTGCCACAAAGGTCAAACAGGCAATTTTCTGATCTGTGTAGCTGTTTAAAAGAATAAGGAAAAGAAAAAATATTATTTTAAAAGAAGAAAGAAAAAAAATGGAGCACAACCATTGCTAGAATCTAGACTCCTGTATTTTAAGAAGTAAAAAGGAAGTTTTTGTGCAGATTTTTCCTCTTCCTTCTTTGGAGTGGTCGAGTTTGGCAGGTATTTTTGCATTCACACAATATGAATGCACACAGTATGATTCTTACACAAATGAAATGTGTTCCAAATATTGATCTGTGCTCTATTTACAAACAGTACATTAGAATACACTCCTGTGTCAGCATGTATAAATTACACTTATTTCTTTTCACCTAGATGAATAATGTTCCATTTTCTGAGGTTCCAGAATGTACTTCGCTAGTCCCTTATAGATTCACATGCAAGTTATTTTCATTTATTTGCCTCTGCCAAATAGGTTGCCACAAACATCTTGGTTTAGACTCACAAGTACCCCTGAGGGCAAGTTCCTGGCTATGGAATTAGTAGAATGAATGATACACAAATTAAAGGTGTGCAAAATACTGTAAAATTGCCTAACAAAAGATTATTGAAATGTGCATTTTCTTGGTTCTGTATAGAAGTTCTTAGAAAACCTAGCTGGTAATGGATATTTCTAAAGTTTTTACATATACCTGATTGGTAGTCGTGACATGTCTATTTAACTATGAAGTTTAGCATCTTTTATTTCATTTTCTTTATACAACTTGGTTATTTACTTTATCTTTCTTTTCTTCCTCTTTTGCTTTTTGATTGACAAAAGTACATAACAAAGTAACATGATTATTGTCATGCATTTTATAAATTACTTTCTGAGCTGCTTTTTGCAATCTTATTTTGCTTGCCATATATACTTGTCTACATATACCATGTTATTTGTATGGAGTCAAATTGCTTTACCTTTATGGTGTCTGTGCTCATGTTTACAGAGACTTTTTTCACCCCTCTATTTTGAACTATATGAATTCCTAAAGTTTTTTATAATTTAAGTTTTGTGTTCAAATGTTTACGCATCTGAAATATATTTTAAATCAAGAGGGCTTTTTCTTGCTGTAGGAGGTTGAGCTGATTGATTGATCCTGGATCTGGCAGTTGGAAGGAGCAGAGGCCCTGCCCCACAGGTATTTGTGGTCCTAATGACCCAATCATTCCTTTCAGCTGCTTGAAAAGTTATATTCCCTCCCCCACTCAAGGCAGTGGGTGGTGATCCCTAGTGATCCTCACAGCTTTCTCTCACTCTGTCTTCCCGCCTTGCTTCCTCCCTCCCTTCCTCCTTCCTTCTTTGAGCTGGGGATTAAAAGCAGGCTGTGTGCTCTGCTCATTGTCTACACCCCTACACCTGTAGTCTGTCTTCTACTGTGAGCACCACAGGCTGGGTTATTTATAAACAATAGAAGTTGATTTGACTCCCTGCCAGTTCTGGAGGGTAGGAAGTTTGAGAGCATTTCATCAGCATCTGGCTAGGCCCTTCCTGCTGCCTACTAATGTGACCCAAGGGCAAGGGAGCACCGGAGACGACCAATAAACTTAATACATAAATAAAAAAGGATAACATCACCAATCCTGCGCAGAGCGGAGCCCCTTCAACCTACTCACCTCCCTCTGGTGCCTTGTTTCTTCACAGTGGACACTAGTTAGTTATCTATGGGCATGATCGACATACCAGTTCACAAGAATAACTTTGGCTTCAGTCAAATGTGAATATAGGTGTTAGTTCTACCTTCTTTTCATTTTGTTGTTGATTTAATTTACTTCTTTAATCCTGAGTTTCCCCTTCTTAGATTAGCTGTGAGATTTAAATAAGAATGATGATTGAAAGCATTTAATGCAGAATCAGATATAAAATAAGCAGATGTTGGTTAAAAACATTGGTTTCTAAAAATATTTCTTTTATTATCAATATTGCTTATCATTATTATTATTAGGTGGGAAAATGATAAGTGCAATTATGTCTTGGGCCATATGGCCATAGGTGCTACAATGAGCAAGATATAATAAATGTTATATCCAATAATTAGTATATTCAGATTATATCTTGGGAGAGCACATTTGGCTGTTTCCACTTACTAAAGCAACACTGTTCCCCTGACAAAAGTCCTTCTTGACAAAGAAGATAACTTGTTTTGCTTCCAGGAAGAAATTACTGTTGAACTCAAATTAATGCCTCTTGTTCAACTCTTCAGCCTCAAGACCCTTGTATAGTACTTGCTCTTCCCTGTCTGGGAAGTTCTTCTCAGAGGTATCTCAGGGGCATCTTCCTCTCTTCTTTCATGATAGCACCATATCAGGAGATCTGCATGGCTCGCTAGTATCAAATTGTCCACTTGCCTCTCTGCAATTCCTTAGCACTCACCATCACCAGATATAGCCATTCATTTTATTTTATTTCTACAATTTTGTTCTATTGTGGTCAGAATACCTAACAGGAGAGCCACCCTTTTAAAATATTTTAGGTCTACAATACAGTATTTTTAGTTATAGGTGTGTATAGCAGCTATTGAGAACTTGCTAACTGATCAGCAACTCTGCATATTTCTCTCCCTTTGCCCCCTGGGAACAACCATTCTATTCTCCAGTTCTCTGAATTGGACTATTTTTGATACTGAATGTAAGTGGAATTGTACAGTATTTGTCTTTCTGTAACTGGTGTATTTCACCTAATATGATGTCCTCGGCATTCATTTCCTTCTTTTTGAAGGCTGAATATTGCATTTTGAGTACATGCCACATTTTCTTTAATTGTTCATCTGCTGACGGACATTAGCTTGTTTACTCATCTTAGCTACTTTGAATGATGCTGCAGTGAATATTGGGATATATTTTGCATATTTATTGCTTATCTGTTTATTGCCTGTTTATTGCCTATCTCCCACCACAACCTCAGTTGCAGGGAATAGAAGCTCTGTTTCATTCACAACGGTATCCTAAGGACAACACACTGTCCTAGATTCAGAGTCCAGCACTTGTTTCTTTGTCTTTATTTACTAACAAAGAAAGCAATCTCTGTAGAGTTTGAGGCTGTGCACCAAAGGAGGTTCCCAGCATGACTGGAGACATTACCCGCATAGCAGCTTTGGGAATTCCAGGTCTTTTGTCTGGTCCTCCCTCGGCACTGGTCCTTTATCTAGAACAGTACCCTTACTCTCACAGTCTCCAGTGTTCACCCTGCTGAGTCATGAAATATGTCCAGTGCTAGTCCACAGTCCCTGGCATGCTTGTGTTTGCTTGAAGGTTCAGGGCTACTCAGGGCTAGGATGATCAGCCCTGGTCACTTTCCTCATTCCTGGAAGAGCAGGGATCTCTCTGCTCAGGTCAGGGGTACAGTTCCTGCTCTTTCTAACTGCCAGACCCCCCTTTTCCCCATCCTGTAGAGACCTTCCTAGCTGCACATACTTCTCTCTTTTGGCACTTTGCATTTCCACTATTTTTACCTGTAATTTTATTTGTAATTATTGCATCACGATTTTCCTCAATTAAATGGAGGCTGCTTCATTGTCTGTTTTGTTCACCTCTGTATTCTGAGTACGTAGCATAGTGATAGACCACAAGTCAGAGCATGTTTACTGAGCATTTACTGCTGGGTTGACTGTGAGTCTCTTCCCACACTGCATCCCGAGTGGTACAGCAAGATGTTGACCTTTTCATATATCTTTGGTGCCACTTGCTTACATTTCCCGTGGCCTCCTACTTGACCATTTTTCCTTAGATTCTTCACTCTGTGATGCACTCTGATACAGCAGTGAACCCAAAAGGATGCTTCTACAGTGTTGCATAGAATACCTTCCTCCTTTTTCCCCTGTGTGCAAATCTTTACATACCAAATAGTATTCAAATTCCCTGGCTCCAACTTCCCTTTCTTTTTTTTTTTCTCATTGAGTTTATTGATACTTTTAAGGTATACAGTACAGTTACATTCATCACTGGGATCTTGTACCTTTACAAGACAGATCTTGGTTCTCATTTTTCCCCCTACCTCTGCCCTCCCCCACCCCCACCCTTCCCTATTTATAAAAACTTCTTTTCCACTTTTTTTCTCATATTTTTTCTTTTCTCTTATTTCCTTTCCCCTACCCTTCCTGCTTCCCCTACACCATTAGCCCTTTTCTTCCTATTTCACACTGTCAGTTATACCATTTGGATCTTATTTATACTTTTAGTTTTTCATACTAGAGAAACCACTTGGTATTTACACGTGTGTCTTATTTATTTCACTTACGAGTATGGCCTCACTATGCATCCATTTTCCTATGAATGACTCTAGTTTTTCATTCTTTATGGCTGAGTAGTACTCCATTTTATAGAAAAACCACATCTTCTTTATCCAGTCTTCAACTGGTGGGCAACTTCCCTTTCTATCTTAGCTCCTCTGTCCCTGGTATCTTGCTTCAGCCAAACTAGATAACTCACCTTCATTATACCCACCCTCTTTTCCTCTTACATACTTCATTAATACACTAACCTCTGTCTCAAAAGTCTGCTCTCTCTCCTTTCACTCCTTCTGCTCTTTGCATATTTAGGTCCTTCTTAAACATGAAAAGAACACAAAATCTCAGCAGACTCTGAATCTGCTTGTCAAATGGATGATACTTCTTCAAGTCTGTATACTAATATGTCAAGGAGGAAAAGGTATTACTACCTTGTCAGGATATTGGGAGAATTTAAATAGATGCTGTACATAGTCTGTCTGGAATGGAGTAAAAGCTCCATTTTTATATCTGTAGACTTTTCTTCCATGAACCCTCCTCTAAGCTACCAGCCATGGCTCTTCTCCTCTTTTGTGTTCTCCTGGAACTTGTAGCAGGGTTGGTTACAGTGTATTAGAACTCTTCCTATGGGGTTTTGTATTTCCCTTCTCTCTAAGACAGGAAATCCTTTGAAGTCAAGAATCCTTTCCCTGTTCTCCTCAGTATTCTGAACACTATAGTGGCTCTATAATTATTTTTGGAAATGGACTGAATTATTTTGCAGCTGTCCTGGCTACTTTCTTGCACATTATCCTATAGCTTAGGTAAGGGTAGGATATTTCCTCTTTGGTTATGGTCTAGCAGCTATACAGACCTTTATTTTGAGCTCCTAATGTGGGGCCATGAAAACCACTAGCACTGGAAGAAATAAGAACAGAGGGAAAATAAAAAAGCATTTGACGATGCTCTTAGTGTAACAGTATGTCTCCCTTATCTTTTTTCCTTAGCCTTTGAAATAGACAGTGGCCTGGAGCCTTCTCGGCAGATGGACCATGTTTGTGCCTTAGCCACTTAACAGCCATTAGCCTAATTCCGTACACTGAAGCCAAATTAAATAATAAGTAAGAGCCTATGAAAAGCCGGTTTGGAGACAATGTTACTGCCTTTCACTTGACAAGCTTCTCTGAAGCAGATGCTCCCTCTCCAGCCTATTAACCTGGCCCAGTGAATAAAAGGTCTTTTTAACAGAAGCAAAGACACAGGCACAGAGCAGAGAAGTCTGCATGCTAAAGCTGAAGGGAGGTCACAGCTTCTTAGTGATACTTTATAAATGAGCCAAATTATTTTTAGGTTGTGATATCTCTGATGGGTGGGTGCTTCACCCCTATTCTATACATACCATTCCAATAAATTCTACCATGTTACATCTCAATCCTCTAGAGTAGAGAAAAGAAAGGCAACTTAAAGTTACTTTACTTTTGTTGTTTCTATTGTGTAGATTGAAGGTTCCCAACTCTGGGAACACATCGACTTCTTTGTTTGCAGCCACTATTGTCAATTTGGAAAGATCAGCGAGGAGCCATTCATTGCAGTACCTGGATAGAAACCACCAAGTTCAAGTTCCTCCTGCTGCTAGCAAGGAAGAACATGGGGCAGAGAAGTCAGGCATCAGGAAGAGACCACATGGTCTGTTGTCGTGGCAACATTTTTTGATATTACAAAAATAATGGAACATGAGGTGTCAAGCTTTCCAAAAATAGAGGCATAGTATATTTTTCCAAATTTTATAAGATATTTTTACAATGTATTCTAGGACTAAAATTGAGATCTAGCTTCCTGGTTACAGGGATGGATGTGGTATCTAAGGCTGTTTGAATGGCTGAAGCCAAGTATGTGTGACTTTGTGTGCATGCATGCATGTGTCTGTTAGTGTTTACACAAATAGTATTGAGCACAGTTTTATACAGACCACTACATTTATCTAGAGGTATCCAAATAAAGTAAAACACAGTAAAATAGTATATTAAAATCTTCAGGGAAATAGACAATGCATATCACCCAATCTAAAGGAAAGAGCTTTCTTTAGGAAAATCATTTTGTTAAATTACTGATTTTACATGGTTGGTTTTCTTTGCTATTACAGTATGAAATTTGGTTGAGGCTTTGCACCAGACAAAATTCAAAATACCCTCATGTCCCCATCCTTCTATAGAGCATTGATTTACTTTCCAGTGAAGAAGGATGAAGAGAAAAAGGAAATTTTTAGAAGTTTAAAAAAACAAGGAAGAAAGGATAAGATCAAAGCTGACAAAAAGGAGCAAGGAAGTAAATGTTGGGCCATGAAGAGACGATTGACCTGGAAAGTGAGTCTGAAGAACCATGCCACTCTGGAGGGTCGGAGAAGCCAGCCCATGCTGTGCTTGCCTGAGCCAGCCACATTTTCCACATGTAGGGTGGACAAGATGAATCTTTTTATGTATTTAATGGCTCCTATTTGAACTGCATCTTCAAGCACTGTTTCCCAGATCTAGGTGCCAACGGGGCTGTGGTTTAGGATAAGACCATTTCTCCTCTCAGAATCACCTGGTGAGCTGGTGAGCTT